TGCTGTGTGACGCATTTTATGGAGGACTGTTTCCTGAACCTGCAGAGTAGCCTACAATGGGTCTATGCTCAAAGGCTGTTCTATAAAGTGTGGCAGTTCCAACTTAGCAAGGACAGTCTGGCGCTTCTGACTCACAGCCTGTAAGTACACTATAAAAAATGACTGTGAATTTTGTTTTTTACCGTAAATTTTACGGATTTTTTTGTTTACAGTGTACATTTTTTATATTTAAAGAATTTGCCACTGACGATTCAAATGCGAGTAGCACTTCTTGTTTGTCGTTTCTCCGATCACAAATGCAGACAAATGAGCAAATGTAGATCAATATTTACCATATTATCATGTCCAATGGTTCTGAGAGGTTGTTGAGTGACTACACGTCCACCGGTACCCTGAGAGAGTGAGAATATTACCCAGTTTGTGAAATTACAATAAATGTCTCTTTAACTTTTTTTTTTTTTTTTTATAACTTTTTCATACATATTTAATTTAATACAATTTCCCTCCAAGACATTTTACTCAAATATGAGTCTGAGATGATCAACTGTATATTTGGTGGTTGGGTATGTAACTGGTACTCACCTGACCATTAGAAAACTGACCGCTTTGCACCATCTGAACAGTTATGGCCTGCTGAATATCAATAATTGCCATTGTAATTAATATGCCAGCTAATTCAGTCTGATTGGATTGTTTTCACTTACACCACTAATTGACAACTGTGTATGACACTTAAAGCAATATATCAATATTCACTATCAAATGACAGTATTGAATGAACTGTTCCCATGGCTAAAATTCAATTATTTTGTGAACAGAATGAAAATAAATCACATATATTATTTGCCTATTTTATTTAATCATTTATTGTGGTTATTATTAATATTATTGTTATTATTATTGTGGTCATAATCATTCTAGACCAGACCTATTCAAAGTGCTTTCAGTGGCCCATGCCACCTAAGAAAGAAAGACTTTATAAATTAACTCTCCATAGTTAATTTAGGACTCCATAAAGCAGTCCTAAATTCAAACCTCAAAATAAGTCCAAACATCTACATTTGCAGAAAAAAAAAATGTATATTGATGAAACTACAGAAGTTTCAAAATAGTTTTAAAGTGCAGTGCATTTCATATGTGATTTAGTTATCTGTAGTTGGACACACTAACACAATCTCACAGTAGTTTGTAACTTTATTATGCTTTGGCGAATTGGTGGCTAATTCGTATGAATTCGTACAATATTATTGTATATTACAATATTAATGTATGCTTTCATACGATCTGCTTATGCCCCAGTGACTGTTGAGTTTAGGGGAGGCGCTTCATTCTTTTTTCTGAAAATCATACAATAAAAGTCATAAAAAAAGTTTTTATCTAAGACATAAAAAATTGCTACCTCATAAAATAGATAACACACACACACACACACACACACACACTCATATATATATAGTTATATACTGTATATATATTTCACTTGATGTGACTCACCTGAGCATTAGAACCCTGACTTACATCCTCCATATCTTGATCAGCACTGCTTGAGATATTGATGGGCTGTGGATTTCCCTAATATTATTATCAACAAAAACAATAATAGGCATGGTCATTTATTCGCACTTGCCACAAACCAAGAACAACCATTCTCAGTAAATCTTAAATGTATTTTGCTATTTAATGGCAGCTGACCATGTTTGTGAAAACCATTTTGTGGTGACCACTTGTTTTACCATTTTTTTAATTGTGTACCTATATTACATTAACCCTTTACGCCCTGAAGGCATTTTTGCCTCCCTGAAGGTGTTGTTTTTTCTGAGTGACATACACAAAAATAATGACTCATAACTCTAAAAGTGTAACAAGAAGAGTCGAAAGGTATGTATCGTCTGATAGAAAACTTTCTGTAGTTTTAGTTTCCCCATCATGTTAACTGTATATGTTACAAATTTTGTGGTGATATCATAAAGTATCCAAAACTTACATAATTTTGGAACAAAAGAGACCTTTTTGTTTAGCCCTTGACACCCTGAAGGCATTTTAAAAACTGTTGTTTTCTGAGTGACATACACAAAAGTAAATAACTCCAAACCCGTAGCAAGGCGAGTCAAAAGGTATGTATTGTTTGATAGAAATTTTTCTGTATTTTTAGGGGGAAGAAAATCTTTACATTTGGACATTCTCCTGCTGAGAAATATGTGATAAAATGTCAGGAAAAATTAGTGTGCTCAAAGGAAATTTTACATATTTGACATTCAATATCTTAGGAAATAAGGTTGGAGACTTTTTTTTTTTTTTTTGGTGATGTTCCCCAACATGTGAGCTGTATGTAAACTAAATTGTTGTGGTGATATCATGAAGTAATCAAAAGTTACAGCATTTGGAACCAAGGTAGCCTTTTTCTTAGCCCTCGAAAGCTTGTTTTATTCTACTCAGTGAGACCTTTTAAATGACATATGCCACATAACTATCTGAGCTCTATGATGTTTTTTGACATAGAGTACATGGCACAAAAAATAAACATATTTTGCAAATCATAAATATTAATATATTCATAGATAAATGCTAAAGTTACTCTGTGACTCACATATTCCTGGCATTCCATTCCATCATCCGACTGTCCCTCTGACATGACTGTGGGAAAATCTCCAAACACCAGCTGAAAGAAAACTTTAGGTTTGAATAATAGCTTATAATATCCGAATAAATATTACAACTGAGCGTTTTTAAGTTTTGTAAACAAATGCTCCAAATAGTTAAGCAATGCTTAAGTGTGCTCCGAAAATTGTAAGTGCTCCAAATGCTTTAGCAAATCGTTATTGTTCAAATGTAAAAGATTACATTTGAAATCACTTTGAAATCGAAAATTGAAATCACTTTGAAAAGTAGGAAATCTTTATAATGGGTTTTAATGTTTTTGTCTCGTCGCTCCGGCCTGACAGGGCATCGCAGTATGGTGAGGGGCGTACCATTTCCGTCACACGCTTGAGGTATTCAGCCAATCACAACGCACTGGATAGCTGGCCAATCACAGCACACCTCGCTTTTCAGACCGATGAGCTTTGTAAAAATCGACACGTTTCAGAAAGGCGGGGCATAGAGGAGAAACAATAATGTACAGTATGTGGAAAATAATGTGTTTTTTGAACCTTAAACCGCATAAACACATTTCATTACACCAAATACACAAAATAATGTTCTTTTTAGCAACAACATATGACCCCTTTAACGCCAAGAGGGAGAGAGAGAGAGAAAAAAATGGTGAACATCAGACAGACAGCCTACCTTTTAAAAATGAACACTAAAAGTATAGGCCTAGATGTTAAATCATAAAGTTGTGTATTGCTCAGTCTGTCAGCATTTTATACTTTATGTAGTTATTCCTAAAGTTGTCTTAAAGACTGAAGCGACTGAAGAGAAATGCGTTTAGTTTCATTTTCGTTTCGTACAAAACACATACACACCCGTTTAAAGATTTAATTTCATTTTGATCGGTCTGGAAGATGAATGCCCGTCTTCACACATATTTGTTCGCATTTCGCTTATTCTTTGGACTGCAGACTTAAATGGTTTGTTCAAAATGACGGTCAATAGATTTGCAGCGCAGTTCCAGGCTTTTACTGTCGACAATAACAAGTTTTACTGACATAGCCTACTTTTTTTCGACAGTAATGTCGACAGTAATATCGAGACATTAAAGAGCAAATAAAAGGACAAATCTGCCCCTTAATCTTGTACTTACCGAAAAGCGAGAGCTTCGTAAAGTGTGAGCTGTCGACTTCTGTACTGCGCGGTTCAACCTGATCGACTGGTTTTCAGTCGATGCTAACAAAAGCGAAAGTTGCTGGAGGACACGAGACAGCATATGACAACAATCCAATATACTGTGTTAAAAAGACGAAACTGTTCATTTTACATCTGTGTAGGCTAATACATTTGCTGTAGCCTATATTTTTTTCTCATGCATTAACATCCACATGCCATCTGTACAGAACATATATACCCTCACAGCACACATGTAGCTCAAAGATAATACAAGTCATGTGTTCAGTTAAACACTATCCTTCTACATTAGGGTAAGTTCAACCATTTTCAACCCACTTTGTATTGTTACAATGTTGGTGACGTATGTAAAAGAACAATGTTTATTTTTTTCTCAGAGATACCAGTTTATTCGTCAGCAAAACTCTTCAGCATGATGCAAAACACAGCATACTGTCATTTTGATGATGCAAAAACTGTCTTTTTGTCATTTTGTCAAAACTCATCATTTCATTTTGCGTCATCATTTGCGTCTTAGTGTTGCTTACAAATAAAGGGGACATATAGGTACACATAACATACAGAATTGTTGAATAAAGTTGTTATTTTAGTTTTCTTTGCACATAAATAGTATTCTCATGGCTTCTTAACATTAAGGTTGAACCACTGATGTCACATGGACTATTTTAACGATGTCCTTACTACCCTTGTGGGCCTTGAACGTGGTAGTTCCCTTGCTGTCTATGCAGGGTCAGAAAGCTCTCGGATTTCATCAAACATAACTTCATTTGTGTTCCAAAGATGAACAAAGGTCTTGCGGGTTTGGAACGACATGAGGGTGAGTAATTAATAACAGAATTTTCATTTTTGGGTGAACTATCCCTTTAAGGCTTTGCAAGTGAGCATCCTGAGATAGAAACAGGAAAGCAAACGGAGAAAGATTAGCATAGCTGCTGTTCATATTATTTCAGACAAAAGATGATTTATTTCATCACATAAAACTGCAGTGCAAGGTTACGAGACGTGTTATGTGAATACTTGGCTAAAACTATGTATTTTTTCATCTAATTTAAACTAAAAGAGTGTGTCTGAGTTCCAATCATCATCATGAAAGCTAGTTCAAAGTCTAGGAGTAAATACAAAAAAGCTCTACTTCCTTTAGTGGACTTTGATATCATTACAGGTCAAGTACCATAGGTGCTGTTGCCCCTATTTTTGCTTATTTTGCTATTATCTGGTTTAATCACAATTATTATCAATGTCTTTAATTATCAATTATCAAAAGTTAGAGTAAATATTTCTGTTTCAAATAAATGCTGTACCTTTTAAAACATTTTATTCATCAGAGCAGCACAACTGTTTTTAGCAGCAACTCATTACATTTTAAAATCATTTTAAAATAAATAGAAAAAACCTTAAACCGCATAAACACATTTCATTACACCAAATACACAAAATAATGTTCTTTTTAGCAACAACATATGACCCCTTTAACGCCAAGAGGGAGAGAGAGAGAGAAAAAAATGGTGAACATCAGACAGACAGCCTACCTTTTAAAAATGAACACTAAAAGTATAGGCCTAGATGTTAAATCATAAAGTTGTGTATTGCTCAGTCTGTCAGCATTTTATACTTTATGTAGTTATTCCTAAAGTTGTCTTAAAGACTGAAGCGACTGAAGAGAAATGCGTTTAGTTTCATTTTCGTTTCGTACAAAACACATACACACCCGTTTAAAGATTTAATTTCATTTTGATCGGTCTGGAAGATGAATGCCCGTCTTCACACATATTTGTTCGCATTTCGCTTATTCTTTGGACTGCAGACTTAAATGGTTTGTTCAAAATGACGGTCAATAGATTTGCAGCGCAGTTCCAGGCTTTTACTGTCGACAATAACAAGTTTTACTGACATAGCCTACTTTTTTTCGACAGTAATGTCGACAGTAATATCGAGACATTAAAGAGCAAATAAAAGGACAAATCTGCCCCTTAATCTTGTACTTACCGAAAAGCGAGAGCTTCGTAAAGTGTGAGCTGTCGACTTCTGTACTGCGCGGTTCAACCTGATCGACTGGTTTTCAGTCGATGCTAACAAAAGCGAAAGTTGCTGGAGGACACGAGACAGCATATGACAACAATCCAATATACTGTGTTAAAAAGACGAAACTGTTCATTTTACATCTGTGTAGGCTAATACATTTGCTGTAGCCTATTCATGCATTACATGCATTAACATCCACATGCCATCTGTACAGAACATATATACCCTCACAGCACACATGTATAATACAAGTAATACAAGTCATGTGTTCAGTTAAACACTATCCTTCTACATTAGGGTAAGTTCAACCATTTTCAACCCACTTTGTATTGTTACAATGTTGGTGACGTATGTAAAAGAACAATGTTTATTTTTTTCTCAGAGATACCAGTTTATTCGTCAGCAAAACTCTTCAGCATGATGCAAAACACAGCATACTGTCATTTTGATGATGCAAAAACTGTCTTTTTGTCATTTTGTCAAAACTCATCATTTCATTTTGCGTCATCATTTGCGTCTTAGTGTTGCTTACAAATAAAGGGGACATATAGGTACACATAACATACAGAATTGTTGAATAAAGTTGTTATTTTAGTTTTCTTTGCACATAAATAGTATTCTCATGGCTTCTTAACATTAAGGTTGAACCACTGATGTCACATGGACTATTTTAACGATGTCCTTACTACCCTTGTGGGCCTTGAACGTGGTAGTTCCCTTGCTGTCTATGCAGGGTCAGAAAGCTCTCGGATTTCATCAAACATAACTTCATTTGTGTTCCAAAGATGAACAAAGGTCTTGCGGGTTTGGAACGACATGAGGGTGAGTAATTAATAACAGAATTTTCATTTTTGGGTGAACTATCCCTTTAAGGCTTTGCAAGTGAGCATCCTGAGATAGAAACAGGAAAGCAAACGGAGAAAGATTAGCATAGCTGCTGTTCATATTATTTCAGACAAAAGATGATTTATTTCATCACATATAACTGCAGTGCAAGGTTATGAGACGTGTTATGTGAATACTTGGCTAAAACTATGTATTTTTTCATCTAATTTAAACTAAAAGAGTGTGTCTGAGTTCCAATCATCATCATGAAAGCTAGTTCAAAGTCTAGGAGTAAATACAAAAAAGCTCTACTTCCTTTAGTGGACTTTGATATCATTACAGGTCAAGTACCATAGGTGCTGTTGCCCCTATTTTTGCTTATTTTGCTATTATCTGGTTTAATCACAATTATTATCAATGTCTTTAATTATCAATTATCAAAAGTTAGAGTAAATATTTCTGTTTCAAATAAATGCTGTACCTTTTAAAACATTTTATTCATCAGAGCAGCACAACTGTTTTTAGCAGCAACTCATTACATTTTAAAATCATTTTAAAATAAATAGAAAACACTTATTTTAAATTGTATTAATTTCACAACTCATTATTACTGTTTTACTGTATTATTAATCAAATACATGAAGCTGTGGTGGGCAGAAGAGACTTTCAAAAACATAAAAAAAAGCATACCAATCCCAAACGTATGAAATAGTGGTGTATGTTTGAGATTTTTTAGTCTTATGGTTCATAGCACCTTGGAGATGCTGTCTGACAGGAGGTTCGCTGGGCTGCAGCAGGAAGAATCCAGGAACAAAACAAGCAATTTGTCACAGAGACAACAATATTTAGTATGCAGTTCCAGGTTTATTAAAAGGAAACAAGCTAGAGGTAA